GCTTACCATATTGAGTTTCAAGCGTAATAAAATTGGGTACACTGGAACACAACATCTTGCTGACGCTTTACAAGAAAATAGAGTAAGTTTTATTCTTCATACATCAATTCTATATTCATATTTACTATCGGACATAGACACTCACTACATTAAACTTAAAATATAATGAAATCGGTGATAGTAGAACTCAACATTGCATCGATATGTTGCAGCATAATAAGGTATATCTTTTTCTTCCTGTCCGTTCTAATAACAATCATATCTACTATTTATAGACACTTATCAATAAGATGCTTAAACGTAATGAATTTAGTTAAATTCGTATTGTATTGTAGTAGACGTCTTCTTTTTAGTGTACTCAAAAAGTGAGTACACTACTAGAATCGGTCCGTATGTCCGGCCGGCCGGCCGGCCGTCCGGCCGTTAACACGATAACTTTCGAAAGGAGAGTCCGATCACGATGAAATTTTCTACACAGTTCAGTCTTTACAATATCTCGGTCGAGTTCGAAGATGAGAAGGATCCGTCAAGAAATGGCTGAGTTATCGAAAAAATTGTGATTTTTGACCAGACCATCCCTGAGGGGGGGTACGGGGATTTTTCGAAAAAAAAATTTTTTGCTCATAATTATTCACAAAATACATAAATCGACTCAGTTTTTAACGCTGATTCTGAGTCTGATATTAGTTTTGAACCGAATCATAGTTTTGTGTACTCAAAAAGTGAGTACACTATATAGAATAGTCAGTGCGTTCGTCTGTCCGGTTGGCTGTTTACATGATAACTTTTGACAGCAGAGTCAGATTGCGATGAAACTTTCTACACAGCTTAGTCTTGACAATATCTCGGTCGAGTTCGTAGATGAGAAGAACCGGCCGAGCCATTCCTGAGTTATTGAAAAAATACCTACTTTTCCCTATAGCCTTCTGTGGAAAAATGGACCCATCGGGACTTTCGTAAAAGACTTTTCCTATCATAGTCAATTAAAATCCCAACTATTATATACCATTCGATAGAGAATTTCAAGAGCTACAAAATGATATATAAAACAGAAAGAAGCAAGAAGACTGACTCATCTATCACAAGGATAATTAAAGAGAACTAGGTTATATTTTGGTCCACGATCTAATTGATCCATAAACAGAGCTGTATCTTCTGATCACATTGATGATACTTCGAGGTTTTCAGAGATGGAGAACTCGAATGTGTACTGCACTTCCATCGAAATACTATTGGTTGTGCAGTGACCAATGGAAATCAAGTTATAGGAAAAACGCCTTTGTTAGGGTAAATCAAGGAAAAGAGTTCAAACTTGAGCTGTATTCGGTCCCATGTCCTATTGGTTTGGCAACGCGCAATAGAAATCAACATTTTAAATGGTAGGTTCCCCAGTATAATTTTGATGTTGAGATATTCTAGGATGACTGATTCGTATGATTCACTTTTTGAAGTACACATAACTTTCGGATTTAAATCCGAAGTTTCCGCATTTATTTTTGTATAATTTTGGTTTGAATATAATTATATCAGAAAAGTATTACTTTACAAGTAATCAGTAATGTCAAACCTGGAAGTTGAATTCAATTATTCATTTTTCGAAGTCAGACGAAAACAAATATTTTTACGGAAACAATAAATAAAATCTTAAACTATAACGTATGCTCAAAGAGTAACGTTTTAAAAAGACGATATTGACCCAAATACATTTTTATTTAAAGAACACATCTCTGTATATTTGTTTGAGGAGCATGACAAAGCATAGAAATAGTTGCAAGAAGCGCGAGACATGTGCATACATTACTGCTCTTCTCAACAACGATCATGGAACATTGGGATTTTTGTAGTCTAGATGTTTTAGCAGGATGATTCATAAAATAAGATTGCAAGGAAATCAGTTAAACAGCAGGTAAATAAATGGTTAGCAATTAAGCATTTCTTGAATACTGTTTGACATACAATATGGGCAAAGTATTATTGTAAATCACATTCATCGCGACAGATCATGCGATGTAAAACAGTGATTAAAACAAAGTAGATGTGATGATATGCGTCCGGATGTTGACCTTCAGTAACAATACAGTGTGAATCGGATTCCAAAATCAATGAGCGGAACTAAAAATGAAAACGAAAAAGAAAAACGTAATCGATGGGAACAAAGTTAAACAGAGAAGGGATACAGAAGAGAGTCACTGACTTTTTTAACTATTCAGTACAGAAGGATATGGCTAATTCTTGAACAATCATGTTGTAGAAGTAAAGATTTTTTCTTTTTATACAGTGCTAAATTCTTCTATGGAGTAACTTTTTTTGTTATTTAACAAATTCTAATCAAGTTAGAAGTAATGACTGATGTGTTTGGTCTTTAATTTCTTAACTCTTTTCATCAAAAAGAAGTGATCGACTCGATCTTTTAATTGTTTATGATAAGTATCTCAAAAGAAAAGATTTTCTAAAAACTAACCTAAATCAGGAGATATGTTGTTCAAGTGAGTCTTCATGATTAAACGAGAAAAGATTCATCACATCTACAATGAATTATATCTATTATCATATCAAAATGCATGGAAGCATATATTCTAAAGTCAAAATAAGAATTAGGATATTCTCTCTTCGTCACACAAGAAAGATCGATTCTTTTTCTAAAAATTCTTTCAAATTAATTCTATTTAAAATGATTAATAGAATAGAAAACATTATTCAATATGAAATAAGGGAAATTATGAATAATAAGCATATTTTACTACGATATATTATTTTATAACTAAAAGAATCTCTATAAAGTTAATTGATTATCAACATGTATTTAGCTATGAAAATAAAAATATTCATTATGTTTTAGAAATTAACTTTAAAAAGTTTCTTTACCGTATATAAGACGATTTTCTTACATCAAAAATACTTCTGTTTTTTCACTTTATATCCAAACAAAGAAAACTCTTGATAAGAATCTGATGATTTATTTTATGATAGCTTTTGAAATGATTTTTCAATGGATACTTGTAATCCACATTTCCGGAATGATATATAAGGTCTATGAACATCGTCGTACGGAAATATGAATAGGAATCACTTCAATACAATAAACGGAAATAGTTTTGGCAGCAAAAAAGTGATCGTATTTGCTTTCATGCTTTATTCTGTCTGATGATTCACTACAATTGATTAAAGACTTTATTCAGCAATAACACATCGTAATAAAGATAGATTTTAATAAAAGAAACTGTAAATCATAGGGAACAGTTATATAAGTCGAACTTGAAAGCTGAAATCAATTCAACTTGTAACTTTTGAATCTCGAAAACACTCTGATTCTCTTTTAACATATGTGTAAGTTATAGGTTTCAACGAAAGAAATGTCAAAAGTCAGTAACAGCTATATACTCACCTTCGATGTTTATATATTACAGTGTATAAGTTAATATATGTGAGATTGTACTTATTTCTCTAAATTTATGATCGACATGTCACTACTGATCATGACTGAACTCTATAGTTATCCTAATTATTTTCTATAGTTATGATTTTCATGGTTAGATTTATAGTGATATAATGAATTTTTGCCTTATTTTATCCATAAGACTTAAAATTGATGATTTGTTTTTAGTTTGGCATCGCTTGAATTAGAGTGTTGTTCATCTTGCTAAGGTTTTTGTTTGATAGTTCAGCGATAGTTATATACCACATATCTGGGCGGAAACATTTTAACCTGAAGTATTACCAAATTGACAGTTGCGTCGACTGCGAATCTGGGTTAAGAGTATAGATATCTCTTTAACTGACAGTTACACCTATATCCACGCCTGAACAAGTCAATGATTATGTTAAAGTGAAATTAAACTTTGGTAAAGAAGAGAAGATAGAATTGAGCAACTATCTTTTTCACGACATTCAATTCTTATGAAAATTGTTAAATTTGCAATGATTTTGTATTGAAACTCAATAAAATATCCTGAAAGATAGCAAAAAACTTCATTAATAGAAAATTTATGAAGTTCAACGAATTCCATTAAACTAACAATGATCAATGAAAAACGATGAATCGATCTAACCAAAATGTGATATTACTTATTCTATGCTCAGCATGCATGGAATAGTATTGTATTGCGGGGTGCGGGCGTGAGTGTAAGTGTGAGTATGAGTGTGGGTGTTGTTTTGACTCTTTCCGACACCCACATCCATCCTAAGTCCAAACCTGGTTCAATCTTATATTAAAATTTCACAACATTCGCGTTCGGTATGTCTCTGTCGACTACTGTGCCTCATATATATAGAAAGGTAGTTGTTTATTCATCTATCACTGAGCTCGACCGAGTTCAATTCGAGTTTAATACATGTCTAATTTTGACACCAAGATAAGCTTTCTAGCGTTTAAAATGATGAAGAAAACCTATGTAATGTTCTTAAATCTCATCATAAAACCAATAAACTGTAATGCATTCGAGAGTAAACACTTTGCTCTATCTAACCAACTAGAAAATCAGAGAATTCACACATATTTGATCAATATTGGCTTATTCTGAGTGGGAAGCCCTTAATTGAGACTAGAAGTAGCTTTTTCGATCAATTGAAAGTGTTTCAAAAACAAAGACAAAAAATGTGCATTTTATTCTGGCTCACCCATTACAGTTACTTCAATTACTGAATCTTCTTTTGTGTGTATATCCTGTGCATTAAAAGTTATTATGGAAAAATTTTACTATGTAATTTTAGAAAATATCACAGTTAAGAAGTTAAGTAAAAGTTGTACGTAAATATTCGTATATATAGTTCATTAATTATTGAAATCAACGATTAACATGTGAAAATGTTTTTGAATATTTTATAATCATTAGAATATTCAAATACGTCATCGAAAAATTCATTAGATACCTTTTTAATCCAATTGATCGATTTAAAAAGAAAGAATGAAATCTATTAAGAGACATATGAGAGTTCGAAGTTATAAAAGTTTTTTATTAAACAATTTCAAACTAAAGTAATTACAATAAATAATCTACTAATTATTTCCATTTTAAATAGATTTTATTCATAACATGTTTAATTATAAAATCAAAACGTAAATTTTCTCTATCGATCATTTTTTCGAATTTTTCAATCATTTCATCATGTGCTTCTGGAATAGAAAAACATAATAATCGAAGTAAAGAATTAGATACACCCTTAATTTCTGTTAAAATAAGTTCCATTAATAATTCAGCATGCGTATAATTAATACATTGAATTTGAAGATGATTTATACGTGAACATATTAAAAGTAACATATAAAGTTCATCCACATCTTCCATATTTTCAAAACAAATTTTTCGAATTTGATTTTTAGGTAATAGTATACAAAGAAATTCAATTTCATCGTTTGATAAATTTCCTTGTTTTAAAATTGGTAAAGAAAAAATTTTTAGTGTTATAATATCAGGTAATAAATGTAAAATTTCCATTAATTTATCACAAAAAATTTTTGCATGAATTTCTAAATGATGAATTTGTGTTAAAGTTAATGTATAATTAATATAATCATTTAAGTATATTGTCTTTGTCCATTTTTCAGGACATAGATCATCTAAACGAAGTCGAATAGATTTTGATAAGTCATCAGAAGAATTAATCATCATATTTTGTGTATCATATTCATACCATCTTTTTCTAAAACAAAAAAATATATATATTCAGTGTAAAAACTTCTTTTTGATATATACTGATATGGACGTATTGAATAAATGACATTTTCAAATTCAAATTCAATATCTAATATCCATCGTCGTTGAAGCCAAAATGATGAAATAAATTGATCACGATGTCCAAGATATATTGGAGTTTCATAATTTTCTTCTAAATATGCACTGTATTTAAAATAAAATTTTTCTAATTGAGGTAATTTTGTTAAAATAAAATTTTCCCATCGATTAGCATCAAGATAATTAATATCTTCAATCACTGTTGTCAATGATAAAAATTTTATTTTCGAATTTAAATTACTAATAAATATTTGAAATATATTAAATGACATTGTGCTATATATATAAATAGAAAGATGTATTATATTTTGTAATATAATTGGTTTAACATTTCTAATATTTACATTTCGATCGGTAAGACTTAAAAATTTTAAACGACGAAGATGTGGAGTATAAGATGTTATAGCAAAAAGTTCATCGATAGCACAAGGATGATCGATAATAAGATGTTCAATAGAAGTTAATTGTTCATTAGTAACAATTGGTAATCAAATAGTTATATCAATATCATTAGATTCCATTGCTGTATATTTGATATATTTTAATTTTGGTAAATTGAAAATTAATTGATAGGTATCACCTAACTCTTTTTGAGTAGACCATGTATCGATTATTAACGAGAAAAGACGAGGTAAATAAATCAATTTAGGAAGAAGTGTATCTAATAGATCTGGTTCAATGGAATTAAAAATAAGAGATTCAAGACGAATAAATGATGAATCGATGTTAAGTGATGAAATAATTTGATTAGTATTTTCTGATAACCATAAGTGAATTGAAAATATTTGATCTTTATTGAGGTGTAAAACTTGTTGATAATTATTCATAAATACTTCTTTTGAACGTAAAGAATTGATTTTTAATAGAAGTGATGAAGAATTGATTAATTGTTCAAAACGATAATTAAGATTTGAAAAAGTATGATAGATTTCACAACCATTAAGATAATCGAAAATTTCATAAAACAATTCGTCAGAAAGATTTTCAATGGAATTTATTGACATACTAAATGAAAATTTAATATTAATAAATGTTGTTTTCTTTTGTATGTGACTTACGTTTCTTGACTAAATCTAGATGATAAAATATTAAATAAATATATCTATAACGAATGAAGCGTGTACATGTTTGTTGATTATTTGATGAACTGACGATAACATATTCTTTTTCTTTTCGTTTCGTTTCTGTACAGAATATCTAAGATGAATCATAAACAGTAAAATATCCTCTCCCTTTATATAACACATTGAATTTTTTAAATAAATATTGTTAAAAAGAATTCCAGTAAGGATTTTAGGTTATTGGCAAAATATTCATTCTGGTTATTTTCATTTCAATTAAACGTTATCGATTACATGTTTTATTTTATTGAATATTCTTCATCTTCTCAAGATAAACTTCGGAAATCTTATTTGTAAGTCTGGTCGAATATTGAATTATAAATCCTTCACCGAAAATATTAAATCTTGGCTAGGATTCGTATATGTTTAATATTCTATTATGTACAAACTGTATGAAAATATCTTCATTGACAATTTCAGCTTGAAGTATTCATTGTCGTTCAAGACAAAATAACGATATGAAAATGCGTAATATATTTGATAACCAAATAGTTCATAGAAAAGTTCATGGGATGATTTTTCGATGGAAGCTACTGATATTTTTATAATCTCTTCACTTGTTTTTTATGCGCAAATGGATGAAAATGTATCTATTATTATGATGAAGTTGAATTAAAATAAAAATCAGTATTAAATTATTGAACAAAAATTTCTTTAGAACATGTCTATATACCAAAGAATAAATAGATTACAACTTTATTAAATACTTTTATATAAGAACAAACAGAAAAATCATTTCTATTTTAAATATTATATGAGAGCAGGTTGAAAAAATTCCATATACGATATAATAAAACAGGATAGGAAATTTCCAATACATCTTGTTGGGAAAGTCTTAGATACGAGATGTACATATTTCCAGCACTTGTGAATTTCCTGCAATGCTCTATCTGAACACTTTACCCTTTAATATTACTACGTAATTGTGCACCAATCAGTCAGTTTTTCGATTTAATAAATCATTCGATAAACTGTTTAGGTCTGATAATTGAGAGCGTGGATGTGGATGGGTATATGTATGGGTGTTGAGTGTAAGTTGTGAATGGGGGTGAGGCTATGCATGTGGGTATAAGTCTTCCCTCTGAGGGTGTGGGCGTGAGTGGGTCAGCGTGTGGGTAAAAAGATCAACACCTACACCCACACCCACACCTACCCACACCAACCCTCAAAACGAACGACTACTCATGAGTTTTCGCAGCTTTTTATAGTGTGAGTACTCTCTTGAATGAATGCATCCACTAGGGAAATGTCTCAGTTTTACTCATCTGTTTGATTATGTTTGACAAAATTGTATAACCAAAAATATTCGATTCTGTTCTTTATTTTCTAGTTTATTAATAAAGAATTGTAAACGATTATTGATCTTAGAATTGCAATCAATAACTGATTTTCGTTTGATATGATGGATGAACATGGTGTTCTTTGTGTCGAGTATGATAATAAGTAGTGTTTTCGAGGCTTATCGGCTTTCAGTTGGATGCACCGACAGATTCGGTCTGACATACGTATCGGTACTAAATCGGTTGGTAACTGATATCAATTCTATCTCTGGATAGATGTACAGCAGATGGTTTTGTCTGATGTTGCTTATCAGGCAGCATTTATCGACTTACGACCTGTTTGTTTGTCATAAAAGTAGAATGCGTCCGTTATCGCTACTTTTACATAGTTGCTATATTATTGATTCAAATTATGCTCAATCTTCTTGAGCTTTTCTGATTCATTCAACAAGATGATTATTTTCCAAGAGATAATTTTTTCTTGGTTTTAGATATCCAAATCTTGTTCATTGGATAGCTTGATTACTCATACCAGTGTCCACTTCCATTTCATCAATATTGATATGTACACAAATATAGAGAACTATTAGTATCACTAACATGTATGAGTTGAAATTCTTTACTTTCATAAAATATGAATCACATTACTTATAGTACACTGCAAAATAGATATTTCAAGGCGCATTTTTTATCATTGAAATTCAATTCTGAAAAATAAAACAAACTATGTTATCCTGACGTAGGTCTTGAGTTTTAATAGAAAAGTCTTTAAGTGAACCAGAAGTTCTCAATACATTTTGTATTAAGGCCTTAATATAAAGTTTTTTTGTCAAAATATTTCTCATCGCTCTGAAGAATAGTAAGCAAAAGCGTCATTATTAAAACTACTCTTGATTGGTAAAACTATTTGTCTTATGTCAGTAGAAAATTACATAAACACTCAACAAAAGATGTTCATAAATCAAAGATATAAGTCAAAAACATCTTTAACAATCAATAAAGAAAAGCTAGGTTTAGTTCATTTTATAACAAGTTTATGACATTCATTTATTTATTTTTAAGAAAAAGAACTTTTTTTTGGTTCATCAATTCATTTGACAAAAGACGAAAGGTGAAGTAAAGTGAATAATAGATTAACATCTTTATAAATTATTATTATTTCCCGATTCATCCAAAAGATCCATTTATAAACCAACTGCACTAAATAATGCTTTTACAACATAATCTCCAAATGAAAATGGATATTTATATTCTTGAGTACGACGTACTCCTTCTCGTTCGGTTATATAATCAGCAATAAATTCAACATTCGTCATTGTGCGATTCCATTTTGATAAATAACTCACATTTGATTCATTGTCTGTACAAGCAAGAAATGTTACATATGTTGTACTTGCTTGACGTTCATTGCGCATTAAATTTTCTAAACTTTGTATATCAACATTTTCATTGCGATTTGTTGAAGTTCCATCGGTAGGTACCAATACAAGTAAACGTTTATCACTACAAGATTGATTTGCTGCCAACTGAAAAATTCGTCTTAAAGCTAGTGTAAGTGGTGTTAATCCAGCTGGACATAGACTAAATGATTCAACAACTTGTTGAATATTAGTTACATTAGGCATTGATGGACGATTGAGAAAATGTACATCAATTCCGTTTGAATCAAATACAGT